ACCTAAGTAGGAAAAGTAATCCACCACAACTAAATCCTGGCCATTTAGTTTCAGAGCGGGAGTAGACGAAACAGCAGTCCCGCAGCATCACTGCACTTTGAAGACACAGAGCACATATTGAATGTGGCAACCGCACTTGTTAGTCCATCAAGTAAACTTTGCGCGTCCTCCATACATTCCATCAGATAGACGATGTCATCAGCGTATTCTAAATCGTACAGCTTTTCTCCAGCTGTCCATTCAATACCAACGTTTTGGAGTCCCCTTAGTGTGCTCTCCAGTACTTCGTCTAGGACGAAATTGAACAGGAACGGCGAAAGAGGGCACTCTTGACGAACACCGCTGCTGGTGACGAACAGTCTACTCCGTTCGTTGTAGACCGTTACACGAGATATGTGAGTACAGTGACCTCGTAGGTTAATGCACTTCTGGGGCATTCCTTTTTGAAGAAGGGAACACATTGGAGCTTTTCGGTCAACTGAGTCGAAGGATCCTTTCAAGTCAAGGAACACTGCGATCGTTGGCCGATGGTGAGTATAACGCAGTTCAAGGAGCTGACGCAACGTAAAAATCCGATGAATACATCCACGGCCAGGCCGGGATCCGGCTTGCTGTTCACGGATGTTGGTCAGACGTCGAAGTACAACCGAAGCTAGCACTTTGGTGACAATCGGGATCAAACTGATCCCGCGGTGGTTTTCGCAATCGTTGCGGGATCCATTCTTGAAAATGGGAACGATCAGTGATTCGTTCCAAGATGAAGGAATGTGCTCTTGCATCCAAATGTTGCGCGGTAGGGTAGTAATAGAGGTTACGAGGTAATCACCTACTATCTTGAAAAGAGTGGGAGGGAGCTCACCAAGTCCTGTTGCCTTTCCTCGCTTCAGAGCTGGAATGCAAGACCGAACTTCTGGAGGAGGAGGATCGCATGACACTGCCCACGGAGCTTCAGTCGGAGATGAAGCAGCCTGGTTAGCAGTAGGCCAGCTGAACTGTTCGCTAAAGTATTCTACCCAGCGATCGAGTCGTTGATCCCTATTGTGAATAGCTCGTCCCCTCTTATCGCAGACTGTTTCACTAACTGGGGTTCGCCGACCTCCCGTATTGCATATCAGTCGGAACAGTCTTTGACTATTCCGTGATGCAGCTGCTACTTCCACTTCACTAGCTACTATTGCTCACCAGTTCTCACGGTCCTTCTTGAGGCTCTTCGTGAGCCGACGTTGTAGCTACTGCCTAACTCTATTTTGATCCTAGCAGGTCGGGACTTGCCGTTTGTGCTTCATCAGGACTACTTACTCATGAGACATCCAATGCCTCGGATGGGTTTGAGGCTCAGACCCACAAGCAACATTCGCTGTGGAGTGCATTGTTCGCCTAATCTGATCCCACTGCTCGTCTACATCACCACGCTGAAGTGCACGTTCCAAGTTGGTCATTTCCGAAAGCGAGTAGGGGTATACAGCGGGGCAAACATGGGAGGAGAACAACTTCTTGAAAGCTATGAACGAAAGGCTGTCAAACGATTGACGGATGGTACCTAGCATGCTCCTCGCCGCAGAACGTGCTCGCACGGTGTTTATCTGGATCATCATGGATGAAAAGATGATGACCCCCAAATCCCGCTCGGTAGCCGTCGAACGCAGTGGGACGTTGTTCATCAGATAAAGAATGGCCGGTATGTACCGTCCCAGGCGCATTTCGAAGAGTTCACTCGAAGTTCCTAGACATCAGCCCAATGGTGTAACTTGTCCAAATCCTCCTGAAGTGCATGGTGGTCCTCCGGTGTTCTCATGGCTCTCCACAACTTCACATCATCCGCGTAGAGCAGGCAAGATGAGTTTAACTGGGAGGGCAGGTCATTCATAAACAGAAGGAACAGTACAGGTCCTAGGACAACCCTGTGGCACTCCACTGGTGACATGACAGCGACGCGACTCGGTCTGGGCAACTCTGACAGTAAAAACCAGCCGTTTTCTGGATTTCATTGCAGAGCAAGCATTACGCAGGGCCCTGTATTGGTCATAGATCCATGAGCGTGAAACGCTTTCCAAGCCATGTTTCGACGCTTAAGCAT